CGCAAGCACGCCCAACAAACGCACTGATGCGACTCAACAGGAGGATATCCATCTGCCGGTGTCTGCTGCCGGCTGTTTTTATTGAGTGAGAGCGGAGCTCTCGCGCTCTTTGGTGAAGGGGGTGTTCTGGGAGGATCCGGGGACGATCTCCCCAATTCGTGAGGGCCCAGCTTCGAGTCGCCAGTAGCCGGGCGCCAGTCGAAGTAGTTCCTGGAGAGGGGAGGAGGGGAAGAAGAGGGGAAGGAGAGAGGGAGGGAGAGGGGAATCAAAAGCGTGAGAAAAAAGCATGAAGGGACGAAGCTGAGGCTCACGTGACATTGGTGATGCATTGAAGCCTCTCTCTGGTGGCTGAGGTTGAACTACCAGCTGCTCTAGCGCGATGGACGGCAGCTAGTTTGACTGAAAGGCCCAAGATTGAATTGCCGCGTGCTCCTGCTTCAGTTGCTACAGCAAATGGTACTCTTGACGTGGTCCGTAACAGACCCTGCATTTTCCTGTTAGTGTTGCTCTTACTTTCATTGTTGAAGATCCGCCTGCAGTCTGCAACCGGCTCCACATTGTCATGGAGTCCGGGCGGCGTTCTTTCAAGGAGAGGAAGTATGCTGTTCGTGCGTGCCCTGCTTCATGCTCGGATCGTGCACTACGCAGTGCTGCGTCATAGCATGTTGGGGGTACGCACTTTCGATTCTTTCGGCCCACATTGTCGCTTCGGCTGCTTCGCCACGATCTTTTGCTTTGCGGTTTCCATGCACTTATGTGGTGGCAGCATCGAGTTGTGTCTGAGGTCGTGTTATCTTGGCACAACCGTGTATAGCTGTGTGCGAAGCCATGGAGAAGCAAGAGTAGTGCCAGGACGGGGCATCTCCTAGTCTTGACCCCATCACCGTCCATCACCGTCCATCACCGTCCTGTCCCGAGCCGGGTCAAAGCCCGGAAAGTTTTCCACGGATCGGCACCGGGGCTTCCGTTCCACGACCTGGCAAGGAAAGGGATTCAGGATCTTGTGGCGCTTGTGGCCTAGGGATGCCTAGGGCCTGAGTTGCCTAAGGCCCTGGGCAACCCCAAACCTAAAACCCACTATCAGACCCCACCATACCTAGTTTGGCCTAGATAGCTGTACAAGGGCCCTTCCCAGGAGATCTTGTTGCTAGGGCTGAGATGTTGGGCTGGTGCCATGTGCCCGAAATAGGCAAGAATGGTTCCTGTGTGAGGGTAGAAACAGGCGCAGGATGTAGAATGATTGGAGGGTGTAGGGCAGAGGGCCAAGAAGACAGGCAAGCGTGAAGTCACATGTCGGCCGGCCCGCATCGCCCAGTTAAAGCAACAGTCACACGCACTGGTAAGAGCCCTGACATTGCCACATGTCACCCTGCAGAGGAAGACATGAGCTGTCAGTAGCTTCAAGCAGCAATCACTGTGCTGCAAACTCCCCCACTGCAACAGAATGCAGGCGCTGCGAATGGAGCCACCGTTCGCTTCCAGAAGGTTGCCGAGGCCTGACCAAAAACACATCCGTTCTGGACAGTATTGGACAGTTCTGGGAAACTCAGGCAGACTCTCAGCCCAAGGGTTTTCCCATGAAACGCCATATTACTGCGTGCCGTGGAAAAAGCTTCGATGATTGCGCGTCGTGGAGACCAGCGCTGCCATTAGCATAGACTTGTGCACCATTCGTTCTGGTCCCCCGACGCTCGGGGGTGAAACAGCTAGATAACTGATGTCATTTCAGTCGCCACTCGTGGTTCTGTCCTGACACAACGACTCGTGCAGCATCGTGCAACCTTGCGCCTTGAATTCCCAGCCCACAGGTGCTCGGGTAAACCTATTCACGAGAACACTAGTTTGGCTTAGATGCGTCATGCCCCAAAGCACAATGAGAATCACAACGTCTGCACGCAGAGGTCTGCCCGATGCCATTGCATCCAATTTATGAATGGCATGATGGCGTCACATCTTGAACTCTGCCACAACCCTTAAACACAACTCATCCTGCCCTCTGGCAGCACTCTTGGACGCCAGACAGGATAAAGGTCCCCATGGATGAAGGTCTCGGATTCATAGGACATAGGACTTTGCATCACCAACAACTATCTCAATTACACAGATCCACTTTTCCACGTGGATGACCTGCATGCACCAAAAATTGCATCATTAGCCCGCAGGGAAGGCTTGCTCAGCTACCCCTCGCATCTTGCGTGGCTTCGTACCAGCACAAGTCAACGACACTCCCATGGCTTTCGGAGAAGGATGGTAAGTCGGCCCGTCTTGCAAGTTGGGAAAGTCCAGACAAGCTCGTCGTTCTTGACTTTTGTAGCTTAAGTGCTTAGATTACCCAAAGGTTGTGCCGGAAAACGAAGCCACGGGTAGCTTTGCCTGGCAACATTCCTTAAGCAGCATAGAGCTGTGGTCACTGCTCATGTATAGTCCCTTTGCCTCGATAAAGACTGTGGCAACATGCTTTGTTGTCTGCAAACCTTGATGTGGCAGGACACCAGTCCGCAGTCTTTGAGACGCTGAGGGACCCGATTGAAAAGCTGTGTAAGAGGGGAGGGTACGAACCTCATGCAATGAGATGCAACACTGTGCTGCCGCATAATGCCTTACATGACGTATCCTCACTGCAATTTGTGGAACAACTGTGGCATACTGTGGCGTACTGTGACCCTGTGGCGTACTGTGGCCATCTCATGGCAGGATGACTCCACTAGAGCGCTCAGTCCTTTGAAAATCACGCACTCTGGGAGCAGAGCTACAGGGAGAGAACTGCACTGGCTTCAGTCGAGAATTTGCTTGGGAATTCTCTGAAGCCAGTGCCCTTGACCACGATTGTTCTATTCATGGTGAGAAGCGGAATGACTGCCAGGCCTACGGCAACTTGATCGAGAGCAGTCCATCTCCGCAGCAGAAACTCGATGGGCAGCACAGGCCCCATAGGTCAAACTATGAGGATGAACAGGATTTATCGAATATGAACTGCAGGAGACGAGAACAGCCAAAGGTGTGCGAGAGGCCACTGTCGAGTAGCCCCACAGGAGCAACAGGAACCTACAAAATGTGGACTTCCACCTCGACCAGAATCTCTAATGGCCAGTCCTGTACTGGTAGAAATCTATCTGTGCAGTGGCCCCAGCGGCATAGCTCCCAGCTCACCTTGGCGGAGACATTGGCTCTTTTGTCCAGGCCTCGGTAGCAGTGCTTCTTTAGAGGGGCCTGGAAGAAACGTAAAGGCTGATGGCCTGCAGGGGTTTCTCCTGGAAAATGGCCTACATCCTATGTGCAATGTCTCTCCGTCTTTACCTTTCTTTCGTTCTTTATTTCATTGTGTCTTTATACCTTTGTCTTTTTCCTTTTGTCTGTCCTGGTGTCACCTTATTTCTGCCTGGCTTCCTTTCTTTGCTTTTTTCTTATGTATTTACTCATGTATTTAACTCACTTTCGTCTTTCTTCTTGCTATGTCTTTCTTTCTTGCTTTCTTTGCTTCTTTCGTGGGGATGGCACGTTTGCCCGCCCCTGTTTTAGGGGGGCCTTCTCTGAACCACAGAACTGCACAGGATCAGTGCCAACCTCTTCTTGTCCAGTCTCACTCTCAAGCTTTCAAACTCTGACCGGCCCCCAAAGCCCTGAACGGCCTAATCCTCAAACTCTGACCTGCCAAAAAGCAAGCCTGTGCAGTCAGGAGTCATTTACAGGGAGATGAGGCGACTCTGCCTCTCACGGATAATGTCCGTCCTTGGCAAAGTGCGGGGAAACATTCTGTGCCCTTCTCGCAAAGTATAGCGCTAAGACAGTCTTCACAATACATGACTCACAGGACTCCCTACTCTGACACTCAACCATTGGCTATTGCGGCTATTCAGCCTCTTCCCTCTCTCAGCAATGCCAGCTTAAGCAGAAGGAAAAGCTGCCAGATCCCACCACGCCAGGCTTTCACAGCGAAAATTGCAACGGAGCATCTGAGATGACTGCCTCCTCTCCTATTCAAGCGGCAAGATGAGGGAGGATTGTGGGGCGTTGGCTGCGAACTCTGAAGTTGAACAGCTTTTCAGAACCACTTGCCTTCGGGATGGCTGTCTCAGCAGGTTCTTTTGACCTTGCAACAGCCTGCAAGCAAAGCATTCACAGAGCCGCGGTGAATGTTGCAATGGAGCCAACAAGCAACAAAGATCAACACAACCGTCAATAGCAAAGGTGATCCATTCACAGCACGCTGCACTCAATGTACGACAGCAAGCAATGCGCCTGGCTGCCGAGCAGAACGGCAGGGGTCTCCTGAGCCAGGCCACAAGAGCCAATCCGTGCAGACTGCGGTTCTGCCACGACTCGGGCGATTCAGGAATCTCTGCCTAGCTGTAGCAGTACAGGTCCTGTTTCTTCGTTGCTTCGCAAGCCTCTAATTCCTGCAAGCCGCTGCTGCCAAAAGTCAGAAAAGGTGCGAACTTCCCGGAATCGCAAAATGGATGCACATGGCATATCGTGTCCGCCTTCCACCGCTGCATTGTACAGCAAGGGGGTATTTCCTCATCCAGCATTCTGGAAAGCGCCTAGCAGAGCAGAACACTCCTACGACTAAGTACTGCTGCGGCAGTTTCCTCGGAGAAAGAAAAGCGATCGTAGATCCTTGTAAGTATTTGACTGCATGAAGCTCTGTGAGGATTTCAACCCCCCTCCCCCCCCCTCCGAAAAATTGGCCTCCTAGTGTACTCCCTCCCAGCGTACTCCATCCTAGTGTACCCCATCCTGTGTACTCCATACCTCTAAAGTGGGTACCCGGTAGCCCTGTGTGGTGCACTGTGATGCCCTCAGCGTGGTTGATGCCCTGTGCCGCGCCTGTGCGGCTTGCCGCGTCAGGCTGGATTTCGTCGCGTCGGCGCTCCACCGGTCTCGGACCTGAGGAACTCAAGTAAGGTCTATTCTTCTCTTCTTTTGCTCTTTCTTTCTTCATTTGGATTGAGCTTAGACAGAGCTCCTGCTGTGTGCCGCACTTTTTGGATGGTTTCCACTCAGGCCCCTGCGCCAGTATCCCAAAGCTGGCCCTCGTGAAACTTGCGTCCTTGTGTTTACAAGTTTAGGAAGAAACGCAATTCTCGACTCTTTCATTGACTCACCATTCGTTGTCCATGCCCAATCTAGAGCTCGAAGGCGCAAAGAAAGGTTTGATGTTTAAAGGCATCATGCACTGTGAGTCACGTCCTGTAAGATGATGCAGCGAGTTCCCAGGCTCAATGGTTGCCTTGGGCGCAGATACATGCCACACGGCACGTGCACATGCACTGGGACAAGGAAGCGTGATTTTCGGATTCGGATGCCGACCAGGCAGGCTTCTTCACTGCTTGCAGAAGTGCTCGGCCCGCTATCTGTACTGGCTGTGCTGCGATCGCTCTCGCAGGTCATGATCCGGCGCGAGCCCTGGCAGTGAGCGCTGGTTGCATTCTGACACTTGACTGATCTTGACTGAGGCTAGAGCAGATGCAGACCCGCTGCAGCCAGGGAAAAAATGAAAAGGATAAGTCCTTGCTGGCCAGCAAGGAATAGCAAGGAGCACCAGGTCTCAGATGCAAGGAGCACCAGGTTTCAGATGCCGCTTGGGCGGTGGCTCGTGAGGTTTCAGGTCCGGCCGAGTCCCCCCATACCTGACCTCGCGTACATCGTTCAGCATCGTTCGACAATACAAAGAGAGCAGCTTAGAGAAAAAAACGCCTCGAGCTGGTTAGGCTCAAAGTACTTCAGGAGCTCCTTTGAAGGGTCCTTCACGGAAACATACGGAAAAACTCAAACTGTCAGCAACTCTGCACACCAAGACAACGGGTCCCTTGAGTCTCGCGGACTCCAAGTCAACTGCTCACGAGACTCCTCGATGGCACAAACCTTCTTCTTCTTCTCTGCAGGTATGACGCTCTGAACTATGCTGCGGAGGACGGTGGGCCTCAAGCACTCTGTTTGCTCACACCTTCACTGCTGACTGGAGCAACCGTCGCATCTGCATGTCTGAGGCCGGGCGCAGATTCAGGAGCTTTACCCAAACCTGAGCAGGTCAGGTCCCCAGATCTGGCGTTGCAGAATCTGGCCGCGTTCGGTTCAAAGTGCCAGGCCATGCGACAGCAGTACACGCTCTCCAGAGTCTGTGAAAGAGCCTTTGCAGTAAGACCTAAGATCACACGGAAACAGATAGCCAAGGGGCTGCACCACGTTACCATTCAGCGAGGTGCAAGTATGTGCAAAACAAGGCCCTGCGAACAATCGAAATTGTCTGTGCGATCTCCCATCCGCGAAGCTTGACGTCGCCGCATTTTGGTATGAGGTTGCTGCAGTGCGCATTCGGTAGTCTCAGTGTGTGGCACATTGCTGGCAGCTGGAAGAAGGACACAACGTCCGATGCATTCTCGAAGTCTACCAACACTACCTGGCAGTTGGAACCAGCTAGTGCAAACCACTTCAGCTCAGCATGAAGGTGCAAAAGCAGATGGGAAGTTGTTCTGTGGCAGCTTTTGCAGACAAAAACTAGCTGGAAAGCTCTGCGTCCGAGCAGCCCAGTTCTCGACCCGGCCAGGCACCTTGCAGAGCAGCTGGCAGAACGGCTTGCCGAGCTGCTTGCAGAACGGCTTGCAGAGGTCAGGTCATCAGTTTGGGGGTCCGGCCATGGCATACCGAATCGCGTACTCCAGGACAAAGATCGTCATTCTAACGCACCTCTCCTTGTCCTGCGACCAAGCAGCCTGGTCTCCCCTACAGCGCTCATAAGTTGCTCACATGCGCTCACATATTTTCTATTTGAGAGAGTTCTGTCCTTGATGAGGTCAGCAAATCGCTCAATTCGGACGACCAGGCAGGGCCTGCACTTGCGGTCCCGGCCATGCCAATACCTTGGATCCAGAACCGTGCAGTCAGGGTGTTGCCCAAGCGAAAGCCTCTGAGACGCTGAGTCGCCGACATGGCGCCACAACTTAAGTCTTGCAAGATGTCTGCCTGGCGCATTAACTAGCCCTGGCTGCTATGTTCAGATCTTGGATTGGCGCGAAGGAATCAAGCCTCCTGAAGCGGCAGTCTGCGGACACGCTCCTGCGGAAACCGCAGTGTGAGTAGGTACCGTGCGCCAACGTGGGAGTCTGAAGCTTCCCAGTTGCACACTTTCTGCATGCTCCCCCTGCGCCCGACAATGCCATCCTCCAGGCAGGTTTGTATGAGGTCGATCGCCCTGGATACGTCGAACCTGCACACGTACGTGTGGCTATCAGAATGTTGTCACATCTTGGACTGGCCACAGACACAGACTTCACTTCTTTCTGAGTTCTACAAGCTTTACATGCGATGGACGGTAAGGGCAGGACTTCTTGTGCTGAAGCACCCTGAGGGCGCTGAGGCGGATGAACCTTCGTTGCCACAAGAACCGTTTGACATCCGTTTGACCGTTTACCCGCGATGCAGGCACAGGCACGCTGTGGCCTCCACTGGAGAGCTCAAAGATGCTCTTGACATCTCTTGACAAGGTCATTTCCGAGTCATTACCGAAGCGAGTCGACCGGAAGACTTGAAGGCAAAGCTGCGATGCCCCCAAACGATGGGATCCAGAAAAGACTCTCGAAGTTCTCCCAGTGCTCTGTAAGGTCATTGCTACTACTGACATAAGGTGCCACACGTGACCATGCACCAAGAGACTCCGGGAGATCATCTCTGCCGTTGCGCCGCCTAAGGTGTGGAAAAGTCTCAAGCTTCGCATTGCGGATATTGCGGCTCGCGCTTTTGTCAACTTCTCCGTAAGCGTCATCTGATGTCATCTGTCCCTGTAAGCCCACTCGGTGCCTCTGAGCCCCTGGCGCACACCACTCCTTCCGCAAGGCTGCTAGAGCCTGCACCTTGCAGAACTGCTTATGCTTGGTCCACCGACCTTCATCACTGTCCCCTGCGTATTTTGAGGTCCAGATGCGCGCAAAGCCGCAAAGCTCTCACGAGTTTCTCAGCTCGAGGATGCGAATTCCATAGGATTCATTTACTCAATTTACTCCTTAGGCGATTCCGAAGGGGACCAGAGCCTCGGCTTCTGCCAGAGGCGTGTTGAGGAAGATCAAGCGGCTCCCAAGAGGTGTACCTCCAGAAAACAGGAATCAGAGAATGGGACAGGGAACAGGAGAGCCCGGGGAGGGGCCCCCTTTCGCGCATCAGCCCTCTGCCTGTGCGGTCGGCAAAGATTTCTTCAGCTGAAGGCTCAAATAGCACCTGGAAGTGGGCCACATTGGGCCACGCATGCGAAGCTTCGCGCTTGCGCGAGTGCGAACCATCTGAGAGCAAGCTGAGATGGCGGCAACCTCCTCTGGCAGTAAGTTGCTGCCTAGGTATTGATGTACAGAGGTACACAGAAGTCACATAGAAGCCGTTGGAGATGCGGGAGCCCGATTTTTCAAAGCGTATAGGTACTTATAGTCATAGTGTCACTTGGGGGTGAGCCAATCTACACACTCGATGTGCTGCTCTTGCAGCTAGGAGACTGTGAGGGCGCTGGATGTTCACACAA